CAAACTTGCAAATCCGAGGGATAAGGCAGTCATCGATTACAAGGCAGAGCTTGAGAGAACAGTCCTGATGGTTCAGCAAAACCCAGCTGGACCTTCCCAAGGGACTAAGCCGAGAGAGGGTAAAGGAAAGAAGGAGTCAGCCCGCCACAGAAACCAGTGGCAACCCAACCTGATGATGACCAGTCTGACAACTCTTCTGAGAGGACTCAGGCTGCTGAGGGTCACCCCACCAATGCTGAGGACGTCGTTGATGAACCGTCAAGTCAAGCCACTACCACCAATAAGGCTGACGGAGAGGCATCCGATATCATGGCTGAGAAGGACATCAATGATGACGATGATGCAGATGATGATGATGATGATGATGATGATGAGGAGGAGGAGGAGGAGGAGGAGGAGGATGCTACACAAGCTCTGATCAGGAGGACAAAACGAGCTGGAAAATAGCTCATCCCTGGTCAAGTGTGACACCCCATCAGACTATAATGGGGCTGCCCACTCACGCAAATCTGCCAGAGGCATTATTATAAGTGAGCAGTGCTCTAAGCACCAAAACGACAGTCCTGCATCATCAAAGCCTATGAAGAGGCTACGCAAGAAGAGCACAACAGAGATAGAGATGGATTTATAAGATGAGTGCGACACTTTCCTTAATATATGTCGAACCTCGCCCATAGGTTCAGGAGCTAACCTTGTTAGTTCCCGGGTAGAAGTTGCAGCATCTGGTTCAACTGTGCATGCACAACCATCTCATATCCACTCTTCAGTCTCCGAACAGGATGAAGTTTCAATAACTTAAGGAGAATTCATACTGACCTCACTGGTCCCTTCTGGATCAGTTAAGCGACTTAGTGGTCAACAGTCCCAGACCACTACCCCAATTCGTTCAATCACATCGAGTCTAGGTGTCGCCATTCCTACATTTTTGAATTTTTCTATGACACCTACACTATTCACTACACATACAGGTGCACACACCCTGAATGCAACGACCGGAGTGCAAACTATGATGGTCGGAAGCCCTGCTACGCAAACAATGACTCCATCATTGAACGCAGGCCACACACCATCTATCTTCACTGATATTGTGACAACAGTTATGTCACGCCCCGGACCTCCCCGGACACGTCAACAACCCGCCGTACAATACGAATAGTCAACCGCAGTCCAACACATTCATATTATACAAGGCGTCATGAATATCATTCACACATAAGTCATCCATAAACATACATAATAAGCAATTCAATACGCAGCGGAAAACATTGTTTAAAACAAAGGGCCACACAGGGCAAACATGAGCACGCAGGCTCTAAAGTAAAATATCCATGAGCATGTTTATTAATGTTCTAAAACTGAATGGAGGAAGCACGAACCAAGTCTTCTCTCCGGGGAAATCACTCGGCAACGAGCACAGGAAGCAAGCTCTAGCCTCAACCTGAAATGGTGGTGGGACGCCCCCGAAGGGGTCAGTACTCTATACGGCTATAAAGTACTGGTGTGGCAGGCATCTAATAGATATACAACAAGTATTTCAAGCACAAGACCCTCAAATAGGGTGATAGTATATTATGATTGTAACCCTAAGTTACCCATTTGAAAATATACTTACTTTAGGTAAAAGTCAAGTAGTCGGCCCGTGGGCCCATGTTCATTTAGAAATCACCATTCCCATTTCCCGTGGATACAAGCCACGATACTCAATAGAGTCCAACCCTAACACATGACATTGTATTCTAGAGCTCGGCTCTACTACATCACCATACAATTCATGTCACTCGGGTCAATTCCTTACCTTGCGTTCTAGAGCTCGGCTCTATTACATCACCACGCAAGCCCTAGAGCTCGGCTCTAGCTATACAATACATAGACTACAAGTCTACACCTTACATGCATTCTAGAGCTCGGCTCTACTACATCACCATGCATTAAGGTCCAATTCTCAAGCAACCCTATGCCTAGAATTGACATATCATTAAACTGCCATGGGTCATCCTTAAAGACTTCCCATAACTTAACCTTAGTTCCATACTAAGTTATTATATACACTTGAACTATATTCAAGCACCTTTCATACAATCCAATCCCTAGGATCAATTTAATCAACAAGTTCCAATAATCACTAACTAGTATTTCAATACTATTAAGATTATTGTTATCATACCACTATCCTCTTTATTTGTAATTCTCTACATAATTACAAATATGTAGCAGCAACTTAAGTATTCAATCTCAATACACAAATATTCATTTATGTATCCAAATACTTCATACATGAGCAAAATACCTATTTCGCAAAAACAGTTCATTTATACTCATTAAATCTCATGTTATTCATACATTCTCAAATCATTTCAAATTTCATTCTTTGGCAACTATATCAATATTTCATCAATATATGATCATCATAATCCATGAAAAATAATGATTTAAGCATTTAGGTAATCTCATGCTTAACCTACAAGTTGTAAGCAATTAGATGTCAATCCTCACCTCAATTGAGCTTTAAACTTTCCCTTCTTGGTCCAATTGTCAAAGCTTTGGTCAAGGTGGGTTTGGAACTGATTCCTTGCTCAAATATGAGTGTTAAACAGCCTCCTCAAAGTGCTAGTTCAACCCTTAATCGTTGATACGAAAACAGCCCCTAGAATGGGTGTTTTCCGGTTAACTCGTTTCCTAGTTTCCCAAGATTTGCTCTAGGTTAGTATCTAACCTTTACATCAATAAAATAACTTTATAAGGACCTTTCATACACTTGTATTAGTGTACAATAGTTCCACCAATCGTTCATATCATTTGGGAAAATGAAAGGAAAGGTTTTGGGGTTAACAACTTACTTTAGAAAAGTAGATCCGTTTCTGCGAGGTTGTGTTTTGCTCGGACGATTTGGAAGCCTTCCACTACTCCGATTGATGCAAACCAGACCTTCACAGATTCCTCTTCTTGAGAGCTTTCTTTGGGTATCTCACACGCCTTAATTGGATTGGTATAACTCGAGATATCAACCAAACAGTCTCAGCACTCTCACAGCTCGAGTTTACAGACCACCACTCACTTCAGCTCGATTCTGGTAAGATAAGCTCTCTCTCCTCGAACAAAGACCACTCAATTGAGATACTAGACTTCAAAGGCTATCCAAGGACACCTTATACACCTCATTTGGTCGAGTATAACTCCCATAATGAGTGGAGACAACCAGCACACCATTTTGTGCGAAAATAGGGATGGTGGCCCAACATTTGATTCCTATCAAGTCTTGTGCAGCTCCTCTCCATGGTGGTCGGCCAAGGTAAGTTTCCTAACCCATTTTTATTTGTCTTTCAGGTACTAATATCATGTGGAGTGGTTCCCAATTGATCCCAATCATTTTGGGATCCAAATTATCTACCAATACTTCCAAAAATGGGGAAAATGGGTCCTATTGTTTTATCTTTGTCAAAAGATGTCTTTTTGTACTCATCCTAATTTATTTAGAACAAGTCAACTTCCTAAATCACATTATTGATCTCCAATATGTGTAGGCTCATCCCAATAATTTACTTGATGGATATTATAGAAGGAAAATCCTACTTCCATTATTTAGCTCAAAAATGCCAAAGATAGGGTTGTAGGCATTGGTATTCTTTTTAATCATTCGATCACTTATTTAGAAAATGTTGAGCTCTTTTATTTATTAATAAGTCCCGAAAAGTGTTTGCAAACCCGACACTATCATACGAGTTTGAACAGTACGATATTCAATCGTGCACTACGTAGAACATTAATCGCTTTACAATTGTTTGGCAAATCGGAAATTCAATACATAAATGTTAAGTTTTTAAATCGAATTTTCAAGGACGTTCGGGTGCGGTGTCACAAGTTACAACCCCTGTAACTGGAACCCAAATCCCCGAAGAACTACTCGTACATGTGAACAACTCTCTAGAGTCTACCGTTATGCCACGGGTGTGAACGATGCAGTAACCGCTCAGGCATAAGACTCTAGAAGTACCCAAGCTTTTCAGAATGCACAACCAGAACCCCAAACAACACAGCCCCCAACCATTTCTATACCAATTTCCCAACCTTTAACCATTCTGAACCAACTAACAACCATCCACCTCAAGGGGTACCCAGGATACAGAGCTAGTATCCTCCCCTAAAACGACCACGCCCAACTTATCAACCGTACCCTTCGATGACCTTATTTCTGAGGTCTTCTGACGTATCATAGAGACAGAAGAAAGCAACCGAACCCCACTCCAAAAAGCCCTTCTCCTTGCTCTAGATACACAGAGCACATGTCGTGAGAGTCTCCGCGGCGGCAAACGTTTCCATGAGGATCCCGGTGATTCGAATCCTCATGAGGGGGAGAACAAATGCCAGCGGACACTTGAGCATGTCACCTCTACTAGCCAAACCCTGTAGCCAAACCAACCCTCCTCCTCTACCTACCAACAACCAACTTCAGCCGGCCAAAACCAAACCAAAGTCATAACTTCTAGCATGGTCGAGCTAAACAGAACATTTCGAAGAACATCTTCTATAGATGTTGATCAAGGAGGGAATGGAAGTCCTGATGTTGTTACCACGAGTACATCATTATACTCAGACCATCAGTTAGAACCTAGTTCGAATATGATGATAACGGGCAATCTCTGTGATCCCGGTTTTTCTTGTGACAGATCGCCACATCATCAACAAGCTCCATCTAGTTCTTCCAATGAACTAATACACGATGAACTTGAAGACATTCTTGTTCATGACAAGTGGCCTCGCCAATGGACAGAATGGAACGAACTAGAAATGGAAGCAGATCAGTATGAAATACTGCGAGGAGCCTATATCAGAGAGCTCCTTGCCAAATGTGTTGTTGATATCATACGGCTTGATGACGATGAACTCAAGGAAGGAGAAAACTACAAAGAAAATCCCAAGGAGCTGGAATCAATAATCAGACAAACAGCGGCTCAGATGCCAAAAAGTGAAAAGCCCTGGGAGAATATCAAAATCGATGCTCCTTTCCAAGAGGAAATCTGTGACACTCCGAAAAAGTGAAATAAAATAAACAAATGTTTAGTCAGATAAAACGCCATGAAAGTGACATTTTAATAATTAAGTGAATCAAATGAGATTTTAACATCAGTTACATTTAATCAAAAAAAAAAAAAAAAAAAAAAAACGTTTCAATAATAAAAGTGACATTTTCATAATATTTATGTTGACCAGATAGAGACTTGACTTAAATAAAAAAAATTTGGAACTTTGTAACAAGTGATAGTTACATATATGACATAAATAATAAAAGTGACATTTTGACAATCTTAATTCAAAGGTGTATCAGATAATAATATGTGTACACAAATACTCTAAAATAATTCGATGCAATAATAAAAGAGTTGTACTTTCCAAATTTAATGCACACATACATATCAGCCATACCCAATAACTATATCTCTGTATGTACATATCAATATATGCTATGTATCTATTGATAACCTTATCAATTACTCCGTATCATACATATAATACATAACAATAATGCATCTGCTGGCCATATACATGAATGCGATCCAAAACGAACGACCAACCCACATGCTTATCCTGATGAGGCCAGCCAAGGGAACGAGCTACGTACGTGTATCTTTCTGCACCAAGAGGAAACCAGCAATGCCTGCGAATTAATATACCAAGTATACACAAATATATACGTAGTATTTATATGCGTACATGCTACCTCTGCGAAATCATAACCAGAGAACTAACTTCACACACCAGCACTTTTCTCTGCGACCTGATGTATGTGTTGTGAGTAGGGGAGAGTAATAGTAAGAGGATCGACGCTTGAGAAGCTGGAGAGGAGTCCGCCGGAGAAACGGAAGCAAATACCGGAGGAAGAAGAGAAGCTGGAATTTCTGTCACCGGACCTGACTGCTGCTGTTGACGTTGGGAAACGAAGACCGCCGGTGGAAGCATCCAGACTACTGCCGCTGCTCTAGACGCCGGAGTTCTTTCCCTGCTCGCCGGCACTGATCGAACCTTACGACGTACAATACTTTTTCCCTTCTTCTTCCTTTGTCGCTGCGTTAACTCCCTTAAGATAGATGGGCTGTATGTTTATTAATATACTAGTAATTCATAATAGTAATTGGCAGACTTTAGAGCTAAGCTTGGATTGGCCGAATGAGTTGTCATTTTAATGATAAATAAATTCTGGCTGAAATTAATATGAAAATAACAATACTTCGTAATAAACTGGCTTGGTTGATTAGATTGCTTAAGATTGAGTGGAATTGGCCAAGTCACTCCACTGGTCTACAAATTTATATATAACCAATATGATTAGTAATTATCCTTTATATTTAGCACTCTAAATAATTATGCTCCATATAAGTTTATTCCATGAAGTAAACGGACTAGTTATGTTAAAGTGGACCACCGGCATTACGGAGTTGTTCTAAATATAAAATCAATAAGGGTTACCTTAACAAGAAAATGGACTAAATTACTAATCGGTGATAATCGAGTTATAACCAACTAATCTCAGTATTGATTGGTTGAAATTGATTAGAGTATAAGAATAAGATTACGTGCTAATTCTAGAATGTAATATTCTAGAAGGTGAATTTGGAGAAGATCGGGGTTAAAGCTTTGGTTAGGAATTTTCACAAACCGAGGTAAGTACTATGTCAACCAAATTTCATGCTTTTCCCATATAAATATATTTGTGACTAGTTATTTGAGATCATTTGAGTATATGATAGTTAATGAGATTTTACGTATCAATTGTGATTGTGAATTATATATATTTGAGATTTGCGTATTTTATATTGGGTGATATTTTGAGCATTTGAATTTACATTTGAATTTACATATGAATTGTTATTTGATTGAGATTTGAAATTTGAGCTATTTATGAAGTATCCTATATTTTGGACTATTTATGGTATATTTGAGTATGATGAGTTGGAGTTAATAATTTTATTGTGAATAATTTTGTGGAATTCGGATTTCATATCCATTTTGATTGAGGTTATGATACTTGAACTTTGAGGTTGAATTATGATTTTGTGAGTACTCGGAGAAATGTGGATTTGGTGAGTGGTAATGACTATAAGTCTAATTCCACCAGAGATCTCCCAAAAGCGGAGCATCCCAGCTTAATTGTAGTAGTCGGTAGAAAAATCCCGACTACTCGGACTTTTTACTACCCGGAGAGCTTGGAATCTCTTTTAGGGGGTGTGCACACTTAAGGTAGGAGTTCGGCTTCCATTGAATTTGGTTGAGTTTGAATGATTGATCTTGAGATGATTTGGATTATTTGGTTGGACTTGATGGAGATGAATTGAATTACATTATATTGGATTATTTGAGTGAGTTATATTTGTTTGGATTGGATTGAATTTGATGTGGTTGAGATCATTAAATTATTTGTAGGTTTTCAAAGTAATACTTATTAATTTGATTTGATATGGTTACGTTGAATATTGATTATGAGTATTATTTGGAAGTATTTTGAGATGAATATTTGGGCTTTACATATGATTTATGTTTTGGAATATAATTACGAGGATTTTGGTGGTTTACGTATATTGACCTTTTAGAATTATTATGATTTGGAAATATGTACCTATTTTTGGAATATTATTATTTTACATGCGATTTTGTGATGAGAAGTTTGTATAAAATGTTTTATGAGGTTTCCTCCCAAATGTTTTCACAAAATGATATATATGTATCAAACATGATTATTTTACAGGGTTGGGTGGGCCTTACTTAGCATTTCCAGCTAATTTTTGTTTCTTTGTGTTTTTCTTTCTGTACTTTATTTGTGCAGGAATTGAGGATCATATTGAAGTTGATTTCGAGAGCTTCCGCTAGAACACATAGACTAAAGTGATCGAGTAATTTATTTTAGTCTTAATTTTAAAGAATTGTAGTTGAACAATTAAATATGGAAAATTTTAATTTGTTGGTGGTGGATAGCCTGTGCACCCGGTTATGTGAGAGCCGAGTGTGGCGGTAACGCCCCTGTTTCCCTTTAAATTTTCCGCTGCAAGACTCTGATGTTTTCGAATAAATCATTATTTACTTTGAATAAATCATTATTCAAATATATTTTTGGGTGGGAAATTTGGGGGTGTTACAAGTTGGTATCAGAGCCTCTTCTTTTATAAAAACGGGGTTTCAAATATTTTTGAGATTTTCTAAAAAGAGATATCAACAAGTTGGTATCAAAGCCTTTGATTTTTAAATTGGGAATTTTCAAATAAAACTTTCCTTATGTGACTACGATCTTCAAAAAGACTTTCTTTTAAAATCGATTGAAATTTTTCAAAAAGTTTCCAGAAACGTTTTTTTTTCTTCTTTGAAAAAAATTTATATCGATCTTTTAATGCTCTTATACAAAAAGAAAAAGAAATTTAGGAATAATAAGTCTTATTAAAAAAAAAAAAAGAACAAGTCAAGGAAAAAAAAAACCTAGGATACGGGTGAGATGTGAGATTTTGAAATCTATTTTGATGGAGTTTGTGGTTCTTTGAATTGTTTGAGTTATACTTATATGAGATATATCACTATTGACTCAGTTTGGACTTTTAGAGGAACTTACCAAATTATGTGAGTAATGAATTAATAGTGAAGGTAGTATAATTGTGAATGTCATTGATATACTTCGTGTCCTAAACATTATTCTTTCAAGTAGACAATGAAGTCAACGAGAACCAAAATAGAAGACAATATCGCCGCACCGACGAATGCGGAGTTGGCTCAAAATGTGGTTCAACTCATCCAGACTATCGGGAGTGTGTTAATTCAGAACCAACACCAACAACGTCTCAAAAACCGCAATGATGTAGCGAAACTTGTAGCGAAGCGCAATCCACCGTGTTATTTAGGCCAAGAAGATCCTCTCATCCTTGAGGATTGGATTCGCACTTTCGACAAACTCTTCGATGCTATAAACTGCCCTACAGATCAACGAATTAATACGGCTGCGTACTATCTACGTCAAGAAGCAGACAATTGGTGGGCCACGACTGCCCTAACGTTGCGTCAACAACCCGACTTTTCTTGGGAGACGTTCAAGGAGGAAATGCGAAAGAGATTCTACCCAGAGCACGTGAGAGCTGAGAAGTATGAAGAATTCTTACACCTGAAGCAAGTAGGCATGACTGTCCAAGAGTATCACGCTAAATTCTTGAATCTCGCACGATTTGCTCTCACGCTAGTTCCTGATGAAATCGAGAAAACAAATAAGTTTATACGCGGCCTGAACTTCGAGACACAAAAAGCTCTTTGCGTTTCAGAATGCCAAACGTTGAACGATGCCTACAACAAAGCTGGCAAACACTATCGAGTGCAACAACTCCAGAAGAAAACACTCAAGAGAGCGAGGAAAGTGACTGAAGGAGAAAGCAAAACAGGAGGCAAACAATGCAAGCTAAATCAGCTAGGGCACACTCGGAACGGGAAGAAGATCAACAACCAAGGCCAAGACCAGAAGCGTAAGAAGAAGAACTCAACTGAAGAGATGCACTTCTACTGCTCGAAGTGTAGAAAGGATCACCCCGGGAAATACTGTGATGGAACGCTTGTACGATGTTTTCATTGTGACAAGCTAGGGCATAGGGTGTTTGAGTGTCATTCAAGGAAGAAGGGAATCCCTCCGACTCGTGGAATCAATCGTCATGAAAATAATGCAAAACGCAACAGAAGAATATGAAAATAGTAAGCAAAATCATATAAAATTTCTTATTTTTAAAAATTAGTAAGTATGTTTGAAGACTTATGTATCGTTTGATCTTTGATGAATAAATTATTCTTGAATATGTTAAATGCTTCGGGGACGAAGCATCTATTTAAGGAGGGTAGAATGTGACACTCCTAAATTTAATAAAAAGAAGTTAACTAACATGTGACACCTGCTAATTGTACTGTGGAGAATTCCTTAACTTATGCTTCGGGACGAAGCATCTTTTAAGGAGGGTAGATTGTGACACTCCGAAAAAGTGAAATAAAATAAACAAATGTTTAGTCAGATAAAACGCCATGAAAGTGACATTTTAATAATTAAGTGAATCAAATGAGATTTTAACATCAGTTACATTTAATCAAAAAAAAAAAAAAAAAAAAAAACGTTTCAATAATAAAAGTGACATTTTCATAATATTTATGTTGACCAGATAGAGACTTGACTTAAATAAAAAAAATTTGGAACTTTGTAACAAGTGATAGTTACATATATGACATAAATAATAAAAGTGACATTTTGACAATCTTAATTCAAAGGTGTATCAGATAATAATATGTGTACACAAATACTCTAAAATAATTCGATGCAATAATAAAAGAGTTGTACTTTCCAAATTTAATGCACACATACATATCAGCCATACCCAATAACTATATCTCTGTATGTACATATCAATATATGCTATGTATCTATTGATAACCTTATCAATTACTCCGTATCATACATATAATACATAACAATAATGCATCTGCTGGCCATATACATGAATGCGATCCAAAACGAACGACCAACCCACATGCTTATCCTGATGAGGCCAGCCAAGGGAACGAGCTACGTACGTGTATCTTTCTGCACCAAGAGGAAACCAGCAATGCCTGCGAATTAATATACCAAGTATACACAAATATATACGTAGTATTTATATGCGTACATGCTACCTCTGCGAAATCATAACCAGAGAACTAACTTCACACACCAGCACTTTTCTCTGCGACCTGATGTATGTGTTGTGAGTAGGGGAGAGTAATAGTAAGAGGATCGACGCTTGAGAAGCTGGAGAGGAGTCCGCCGGAGAAACGGAAGCAAATACCGGAGGAAGAAGAGAAGCTGGAATTTCTGTCACCGGACCTGACTGCTGCTGTTGACGTTGGGAAACGAAGACCGCCGGTGGAAGCATCCAGACTACTGCCGCTGCTCTAGACGCCGGAGTTCTTTCCCTGCTCGCCGGCACTGATCGAACCTTACGACGTACAATACTTTTTCCCTTCTTCTTCCTTTGTCGCTGCGTTAACTCCCTTAAGATAGATGGGCTGTATGTTTATTAATATACTAGTAATTCATAATAGTAATTGGCAGACTTTAGAGCTAAGCTTGGATTGGCCGAATGAGTTGTCATTTTAATGATAAATAAATTCTGGCTGAAATTAATATGAAAATAACAATACTTCGTAATAAACTGGCTTGGTTGATTAGATTGCTTAAGATTGAGTGGAATTGGCCAAGTCACTCCACTGGTCTACAAATTTATATATAACCAATATGATTAGTAATTATCCTTTATATTTAGCACTCTAAATAATTATGCTCCATATAAGTTTATTCCATGAAGTAAACGGACTAGTTATGTTAAAGTGGACCACCGGCATTACGGAGTTGTTCTAAATATAAAATCAATAAGGGTTACCTTAACAAGAAAATGGACTAAATTACTAATCGGTGATAATCGAGTTATAACCAACTAATCTCAGTATTGATTGGTTGAAATTGATTAGAGTATAAGAATAAGATTACGTGCTAATTCTAGAATGTAATATTCTAGAAGGTGAATTTGGAGAAGATCGGGGTTAAAGCTTTGGTTAGGAATTTTCACAAACCGAGGTAAGTACTATGTCAACCAAATTTCATGCTTTTCCCATATAAATATATTTGTGACTAGTTATTTGAGATCATTTGAGTATATGATAGTTAATGAGATTTTACGTATCAATTGTGATTGTGAATTATATATATTTGAGATTTGCGTATTTTATATTGGGTGATATTTTGAGCATTTGAATTTACATTTGAATTTACATATGAATTGTTATTTGATTGAGATTTGAAATTTGAGCTATTTATGAAGTATCCTATATTTTGGACTATTTATGGTATATTTGAGTATGATGAGTTGGAGTTAATAATTTTATTGTGAATAATTTTGTGGAATTCGGATTTCATATCCATTTTGATTGAGGTTATGATACTTGAACTTTGAGGTTGAATTATGATTTTGTGAGTACTCGGAGAAATGTGGATTTGGTGAGTGGTAATGACTATAAGTCTAATTCCACCAGAGATCTCCCAAAAGCGGAGCATCCCAGCTTAATTGTAGTAGTCGGTAGAAAAATCCCGACTACTCGGACTTTTTACTACCCGGAGAGCTTGGAATCTCTTTTAGGGGGTGTGCACACTTAAGGTAGGAGTTCGGCTTCCATTGAATTTGGTTGAGTTTGAATGATTGATCTTGAGATGATTTGGATTATTTGGTTGGACTTGATGGAGATGAATTGAATTACATTATATTGGATTATTTGAGTGAGTTATATTTGTTTGGATTGGATTGAATTTGATGTGGTTGAGATCATTAAATTATTTGTAGGTTTTCAAAGTAATACTTATTAATTTGATTTGATATGGTTACGTTGAATATTGATTATGAGTATTATTTGGAAGTATTTTGAGATGAATATTTGGGCTTTACATATGATTTATGTTTTGGAATATAATTACGAGGATTTTGGTGGTTTACGTATATTGACCTTTTAGAATTATTATGATTTGGAAATATGTACCTATTTTTGGAATATTATTATTTTACATGCGATTTTGTGATGAGAAGTTTGTATAAAATGTTTTATGAGGTTTCCTCCCAAATGTTTTCACAAAATGATATATATGTATCAAACATGATTATTTTACAGGGTTGGGTGGGCCTTACTTAGCATTTCCAGCTAATTTTTGTTTCTTTGTGTTTTTCTTTCTGTACTTTATTTGTGCAGGAATTGAGGATCATATTGAAGTTGATTTCGAGAGCTTCCGCTAGAACACATAGACTAAAGTGATCGAGTAATTTATTTTAGTCTTAATTTTAAAGAATTGTAGTTGAACAATTAAATATGGAAAATTTTAATTTGTTGGTGGTGGATAGCCTGTGCACCCGGTTATGTGAGAGCCGAGTGTGGCGGTAACGCCCCTGTTTCCCTTTAAATTTTCCGCTGCAAGACTCTGATGTTTTCGAATAAATCATTATTTACTTTGAATAAATCATTATTCAAATATATTTTTGGGTGGGAAATTTGGGGGTGTTACAAAATCAGAAAGCAATTATGGCGGAAACCAGAAAAAGTTAAGGAACTCGATGAACTCAAGATATGTGGCCTCAACCATCTATGAGGAAAGAACAAAGGCGGATAACTGTTCCTGCTTAGTCACAGATATATGCGAAAACAAAGAGAAGTATGGCAGCATGAGCTTCAGACGGCAAAGGACCCAGTGTGGAGTATCGTGAATGTAGCCGAGGTCAATCATCAAGATATCAAGCTCTCTGTCTATCACCTACAACGCTCTGATGGGACTGAATTTACTTGCAAGGAAAATGATCTCTACGTGTTTAAGATGGATGACATCTATCAGATGTTCATAGCTTTCCAAGCACTTCCCGTTACTCGCGATAAAATTACACAAGAAGGCTTTGATGCACTCAAGCGCTTTATGGTCAGACAAGTCAAATTCTTTGCTACCCATGATCTTCAGATGGCCCTAGAGACCAATCTTCCAAAGACAAATCTCATAAGACCAAAGTTATACGGACCAGAGCTATAAGATTTTCCAGCATATAACATCTTTGATAGCCTGGTCGCAATCATATACTTGAATCACAATGGTGAGAACCGTTTGTTAGCGATTGAAGAAATCAACAAGTACTGTGATGGAACTCTGAAGATTTTGAGGGAAAGGCTGCTACCCATCAGAAAGAACTTTGAAGAAAGACAACAGAAGTATGTGGATGCCTTGGATGCTGAACTAAAGGAATCAAACAGAGTTGATAAAATCCTGAAAGCTATCGAGAAGCAACTTGACAGAAGAAGGTCACTCATAAGCTATGAGCATGCGCTTGATCTGCGAAAACATTATTATAGAGCTCAGAATTAAAGAGAAGAAGAAGTAAGACGACACTTGATCATAAAGGGGGAGATTGTTGGGAATATTTGTTGTGAATCAAGTTTGTCAGATGTCTTGTTAATTAATAGATTAGTTTTACCTTTAATAGAATTATTTGATATGTAATAAATAGGCTTGTAAGGGAATAAGGCCCAAAAAGGCCTTAGGCCCAAACTCCCAGGTTACCAATTCTAGTACATGTACCTGCGCCTATAAATACGCGCATATGTGGTACAGGACCGAATAATCAGCTAATATACTTTTCGATCAGCACATACTCTTTCTTTAGCTTCTCGATAAATATAGAAGTAAGGATTTCTCTGTTCGGATATCTTTCAATCATTCTCAGAATCCTTTCTTCTTATATTTATTGTTGAATCCATTTTAGCTGTTAGATTATCTCATCGTTTTGGGACTGATGGAGTTAAATCCAACTACGAGAGCTAAATATACGTAGATATGAGAATAATATGGCAGCGTAAGGCAGTTGTACTCTCTATTCCGGAGAACTAGCAATAATCTAGCCTCAGTTCAGAATCTTATCGGGGGGGTCCGATCATCCCTTGGTAGGGAATTTATAGAGATTAGAAAGTAGAATTATGGGAGGAATCTAATACAATAAATGCTCAATTAATGAACTATATTCTTGCTCGAAATAGAACTCTTCGATGCTTGATTCCCACATGATTGCTTTCCCTTTTTAGTCGTCGTCCTCCGGATGAGTTCTGCATGTTGCCAAATATCTATCAACGAGTGATAGCTTGCCACATGATCCATAGGAATATCCAGGCCTCACTAGAACTCCGCCCAGGCTCGAGGTATGCTGTCCAGCCCGGCCTGGTGGTGGGTTCCTATCGTGGGCCTAATTCCTAATGGGCTAAGCGGCTTTCAACCACAAATCCCGTTTATGGGCTAATCCTGTAATTAGGCTGGTCCCGTTAAGGGCCGATCCCTTTTATGGGCTAACCCTGTAATTAGGCTGGTCCCGTTAAGGGCCGATCCCGTTTATGGGCCAATCCTGTAATTAGGCTGGTCCCGTTAAGGGCTGATCCCGTTTATGGGCTAATCCTGTAATTAGGCTGGTCCCGTTGAGGGCCGATCCCGTTTATGGGCTGGACTACGTAATTGGGCCATGGTCTTAATCCATGGTACCATCACGAGCCCCCCTACTCCTCAAAATTAGCAGGGCTGAATTTGGAGGAGTAGAATTGAAGCGGTTTATTAGATTTCAAATTTCGAATCTTTGTAGGCGGCTGTAGCTCTGCCTTAGTAATTATTGTGCCGAAGTAGGCCTGCAGCTCGGGCTCAATTTTCAACCGGCTTTTCATTTCCCGATTTCTCGAATCTCCGGATGCGGTTTTCCCGAGCGGTTTTTGAACAGTTCTCGAGATGAATCCCAAACGGTTTCAACGATTACGAAGCGTTTTAGGGTTTCGCCGTATAAAAATAACTCTCTTTCATATTTTTTCATTATTCAGACATCCTTTGATCCCTTTGAGCGAAATTTCGGTTTATCATGTCTTCATCTAAATCTTCTTCTGTTCCAAAGTTTCTTCACGATACATCTACCCACTTTTATCTTCCGGCCGATAGGGCCCGGGCCGTGACCGCGGCGGCCCTCTCCGACGCTGAATTTGAAACAGCCGCCGCCTTGGCGGGACCTAGCGTAGTCTGCTCACGCCCTACTCCCGGGCAAAACATTGTGGAGCCCCCTTCTCCTCTTCATTTCAGGGTACACCTATCCAGCCTGTACATGGGCCTCAAATTTCCCCTTCATCTCTTCGTGCAGAGCATCCTTGCTTATTACTGTGCTGTTCCCATCCAGTTTGCTCCGGTGGCTTACCTCTTCCTGGTTTGGTTTATGGCCCGCTTCATGCATCTGCGGATCCTGTTAAACACAAAGCTTTTCCGGTATTTCTTCTATGTAGCCCGATCTGGCGTCTTCTTTGCTAAGGGCTTCCTCGCGCTTTCTCAGAGGCCGGGCCATCACTTGTTCGAGGGTCCGCCCTTTCCCAGGCTTGATCCAAACTGGGAGAAAAAATGGGTGTGGATGACCCCAACAAACGGTGAACTCCCCTTTAGTAATAAATGGGTAGAGTTTATCCGCCGATGGGACGTGCCCCTCCTTAACCAGGGAACTGAGTATGCCGCTGGTCTCCTTGACATGGGATCGCTTTATCGGTTGGGTCATCATCTGGGTGACGACGGGAAGGTGGTGATCACCTTTTCCTCAGGTCAGCCCTGTTATTTCTTGTTCCGGTAATTCCTCTTCTTACCACCCTAATGGTCTGTCTCCTGGCCATGTTTTCTTTCAATTTCAGGAGGTGTGGTGACGGCCTCTAGGGAACCTGACGGGCACGAACAAGGAAGCGGCACTGCGACTCTTGCCAAGCCGACCGTTGACCTCCAGCTGCTCCTGACGAGGGGTGTTGGGGTGAGGCCAGCCTCCCAGGCCGTTTCCTTCCCCGCGGATGAGTAGAGCTCTGTTGATGCCTGTGTAGAAGTTGACTAGTGCCAGGTGGCGTTTAGGGGGACGCCCCAGCACCTGTTCTGTAAATTTGCTTTATTTTTGTTATCTGCCTTGACAAACATGTTTGCAAGCCTGCGTGCTTGCAGCGTTTTCCGCCCTTGGGTGGCTTGTAATCAAACAATTACCTTTCTGCACTTTTATTTTTGCACGCATATGACGTTATTGTCTCTTGATCCAACCTGTTTGTCCTGGCTTGACCTCCTTTTGAGCTTGACTAGAAATACCCAACCCTGAGTTTTGAGGTCGGACTCCACCTTGTTTGATTGTCCAGGAGTCCATCCTTTATTCCTGTATCCAATACGACCTGGAACCTTGTTTTGACCTCAAGGCCTGACTTTGGTTGCCAAATAGATAAGTCTGTTTTCTTTCACCTTGTCCTCGTAGTTTTAGCCCTGATTTCCCGGTCAGGGTCGCTTTAGTAATTATTGTGCCGAAGTAGGCCTGCAGCTCGGGCTCAATTTTCAACCGGCTTTTCATTTCCCGATTTCTCGAATCTCCGGATGCGGTTTTCCCGAGCGGTTTTTGAACAGTTCTCGAGATGAATCCCAAACGGTTTCAACGATTACGAAGCGTTTTAGGGTTTCGCCGTATAAAAATAACTCTCTTTCATATTTTTTCATTATTCAGACATCCTTTGATCCCTTTGAGCGAAATTTCGGTTTATCATGTCTTCATCTAAATCTTCTTCTGTTCCAAAGTTTCTTCACGATACATCTACCCACTTTTATCTTCCGGCCGATAGGGCCCGGGCCGTGACCGCGGCGGCCCTCTCTGACGCTGAATTTGAAACAGCCGCCGCCTTGGCGGGACCTAGCGTAGTCTGCTCACGCCCTACTCCCGGGCAAAACATTGTGGAGCCCCCTTCTCCTCTTCATTTCAGGGTACACCTATCCAGCCTGTACATGGGCCTCAAATTTCCCCTTCATCTCTTCGTGCAGAGCATCCTTGCTTATTACTGTGCTGTTCCCATCCAGTTTGCTCCGGTGGCTTACCTCTTCCTGGTTTGGTTTATGGCCCGCTTCATGCATCTGCGGATCCTGTTAAACACAAAGCTTTTCCGGTATTTCTTCTATGTAGCCCGATCTGGCGTCTTCTTTGCTAAGGGCTTCCTCGCGCTTTCTCAGAGGCCGGGCCATCACTTGTTCGAGGGTCCGCCCTTTCCCAGGCTTGATCCAAACTGGGAGAAAAAATGGGTGTGGATGACCCCAACAAACGGTGAACTCCCCTTTAGTAATAAATGGGTAGAGTTTATCCGCCGATGGGACGTGCCCCTCCTTAACCAGGGAACTGAGTATGCCGCTGGTCTCCTTGACATGGGATCGCTTTATCGGTTGGGTCATCATCTGGGTGACGACGGGAAGGTGGTGATCACCTTTTCCTCAGGTCAGCCCTGTTATTTCTTGTTCCGGTAATTCCTCTTCTTACCACCCTAATGGTCTGTCTCCTGGCCATGTTTTCTTTCAATTTCAGGAGGTGTGGTGACGGCCTCTAGGGAACCTGACGGGCACGAACAAGGAAGCGGCACTGCGACTCTTGCCAAGCCGACCGTTGACCTCCAGCTGCTCCTGACGAGGGGTGTTGGGGTGAGGCCAGCCTCCCAGGCCGTTTCCTTCCCCGCGGATGAGTAGAGCTCTGTTGATGCCTGTGTAGAAGTTGACTAGTGCCAGGTGGCGTTTAGGGGGACGCCCCAGCACCTGTTCTGTAAATTTGCTTTATTTTTGTTATCTGCCTTGACAAACATGTTTGCAAGCCTGCGTGCTTGCAGCGTTTTCCGCCCTTGGGTGGCTTGTAATCAAACAATTACCTTTCTGCACTTTTATTTTTGCACGCATATGACGTTATTGTCTCTTGATCCAACCTGTTTGTCCTGGCTTGACCTCCTTTTGAGCTTGACTAGAAATACCCAACCCTGAGTTTTGAGGTCGGACTCCACCTTGTTTGATTGTCCAGGAGTCCATCCTTTATTCCTGTATCCAATACGACCTGGAACCTTGTTTTGACCTCAAGGCCTGACTTTGGTTGCCAAATAGATAAGTCTGTTTTCTTTCACCTTGTCCTCGTAGTTTTAGCCCTGATTTCCCGGTCAGGGTCGCTTTCCTTGGGTTTTAGATAAGTCTGTTTTCTTTCACCTTGTCCTGTTTTGAGGAAATTTGATTTTGTTTATAAGGCTGTCTGATCTTGAAAAAGATCTTCCATTGTAACACCGTCCCCAAATGTATTTACTTTTAAGTGAATATTGTATTTTAACCTTATGGAATAGTTGACGAATTTACGATGTTATGAATTTTTATTAATTATTTTGCGTGAATAGTAAATTCGCACGTGGGGCCCACACCGGGAGCGGGGACCGCCCTATATTCCCGGGACCACATAAATTATTCATCTTGGTCTAGATAATATTTATATAGTGGTGGATAATTTATTGGGTCCAAAGAAATGATATAGAGTTGACCGGTTGATCAAAAGGCCAAAATACCGGTATTGGTAATTTAACAGATAAAAACCCGAAATGAATTTCGGGAACTTATAAAGTAAAGTTGGGGGATGTATATTCATTATAAGGGTCATAATGATTTGGTAACACATAATATATTTTATTTGACCCGATAAAATAAAATATATCTAAAACAGTCCGAAAAATACAATTTTCGGGGCCGATTGTACACTTCTGGACAAAAAGGGTTGACCTCCCACATGGGTGGGGGCCAACCCACGAATTTGGCAGCAAAGGGGGGGCTGATCTATGTCAAACAAGGGCTGAAAACCTTGAGGAGATGGGAGAGACAACCTTGACATCCCAAGGGCCCCATTCTCACTCATTTGGCAAAAATGCCAAAAAGGAAACCTCACCCCATCTCTCCCTCACTCCTTCTCTCGGCCAGCACCAACCCCAACAAGAAAAGAAAAACCTCCATCCTCCTTTTCCCATCCTTGAAGAGAGCTCAAACAATAGAGGTCCAAGGGGGAAGATTAAAGGGAGAAAAAGCTAGGAAAAGTGAGAAAGATTAAGGTAATGACCTTATATTAACTTTTCCTTTATTTTTCTTCTATCATCATAGGGAGAACATTGAGGATTGTTCTACATGATTTCAATGTGGGATAATAGGTTGGAGAGTGGTTCTAAGTCCAAGAACTGACTTGGAAGCCAAACCGACAAGTTCACCGAAAAATAACCTTTTAGAGGTTATTTGTATTGATTAAGGTTTTATGATGTTAAAACCATGTTAGGAACTTGATTAAAGTATTTTTGAGCTTCGCCGGAGTTTCGCCGGAGTTGGTCAAAGTTCGCCGGAGTTGGTCAAAGTTCGCCGGGATTAGTCAAAGTTCAATCAGGGAGCGTAGAACGCGCGTGAGCTCACTTAAGGTGAGGATGACCGACTATATTGCTTATAATCTTTGGGTTAATTTCATGAGATTTCCTAAATGAATATATACAATGTGATTTGCATGAATTGTTAATGGTTAATAATGCCTAAATGAAATTACTATTGATTATAAGTATAGGTTGCATAATATACAAATTTATTAAATAAATTGTGTATGTCTAAATGTTATGAATATGATGGCATGATAGTAGTACCAACCATAAATCCCATTTGTGATAAGTATACTTTTATTTCATGAGAAGAAGCCATGAGAGAATAAAAGTAATATTTTGATTTTAAGGTCAAGCTACATATTGAATGAAGAATTACATTGAAATGAGTAAATAACTAGTATTGAAATATTAGTTGGGATTGTAGTTGAATAATGGATGAATGGATCCTAAGAAATTGAATTGTAAGGAATCGGTGATTATTGAGCTGGGCTCTAGACCGATGTAGATAACGGTGATTATTGAGCTGGGCTCTAGACCGTAGTAGTTATCGGTGATTATTGAGTTGGGCTCTAGACCGATGTAGATAACGGTGATTATTAAGCTGGGCTCTAGACCGTAGTAGTTATCGGTGATTATTGAGCTGGGCTCTAGACCGATGTAGATGGCGGTGATTATTGAGCTGGGCTCTAGACCGTAGTATGTAACGGTGATTATTGAGCTGGGCTCTAGACCGTGGTAAGTAATGATGAATTGACACTAAACGAATAAAGTTAACCATGATACAATAACACCCTAGGTTGAGGGTCTTGGAAATTGAAACTTTGATTATACTTAGTATAGTTGTCATTGTACTTGCCAAATGCTTCCAAGTACTGACCTCCCCTTCACGGGGGAGGCCACCTCACAGTTTCAGGTAGAACTTGAAGGTTGCTGCCATCGCCCGCTTGTTTCGGGAAGATCAAGGAGAGAAGACGTGGTTCGTGCTTCCTCCGTTCCTGTTTTAAAAACATTTAAATTAATGCTCATGGATATTATATTTTTGAATAATCGTTTGGGGGCTTGTATGCCCATGTTTGCCAGAGTGTGGCACGAATACTTGTATTAAATGTTTCCGCTGCTTTGAATGAATACTTTACATTATGTTTGTTTATGGATGTACTATGTGTGAATGATATTCCAGACGCCTTGTATAGTATGGATGCGTTGGACTGCGGTTGACTATTCGTACTGTACGGCGGATTGTTGACGTGTCCGGATAGGTCCGGGGCGTGACAATTTAATTGGTATCAGAGCCTTAGTCCGTAAACCTCATAATGAAGCTTCAAAATCTCTTTTCGAAAATGAATTTGAAAACCATGAGCATAAAAGTTTTGTACTTATAGAACTTTTGGTACTTGAGTTGCAAAGTCTCTAATTGTTAAGATGGTACCCTTAACAATTGGTATGGCGGTGATTTGAGCCAAAGGATGTCTTTAAGTACCTATCCGTCACTTGACATTGATACGAGTCTAATGACTCATTCTACTTCCTTTCAGAAATGGAGCCAATCGGAAGGATCACGAGGAGGAACCCGACGGGCCGTGTACCGGGTGGATCCGAGCGCGGTAGCCGGGGGTCCTCTAGGGGATCAAGAGGAAGGGGCCGTGGAGGCCAACACCAAACCGTGAGCGATGGCCACGTCGAGACGGAAAGTGAGACCTATTGGTCTTATGAAGATTCAACCTACCGGCCGGAAACGGAGCCGGTTGAGACCCCTTATGAAGGGGATGATGATGATGTGAGTGACGAGGAGGAAAGTGGCTCCTTGGCCAGGATTGAAGCGCTGCTCCAACAATACCACCGGGAGCGCGAGGAAATAAGGGAACGTCGAAGGCGCCGTGCGGGGCAACCTTCGGGCGGGGCTCCAAGGGGTAGGAGTGTTTGTGACTCGAGAACCCATGTAGAAGCGCATGGGAGCCGTGGTGATGGAGGTCCAACCATAAGGATCTCCAAATACATTAAAGAGGCGAGGGATTTGGGGTGCAAACCGTTCGATGGAACGGGAGACATCTCGGTTGCCGCGCAGTGGATCAAGAGGCTGAACGAGGCGGCTCTTGACATGCAACTCACCCCCAAATGGTGGGATGGGACCAAGGGCAAGTATGGTGGGACTGTTACTTGGGAGGATTTTCGGCAAGAATTCTTTTCCCAATACTACTCCGACTTTGAGGTAAACGCCAAAGTGAGGGAGTACACTCTTTTGACCCAAGGGGGTAACATGACGGTGAAAGAACTTGAGCATAAGTTCAGGGACCTTGCCGACCACATACCGGAGTATGCTTGTGATGAGAACCGAATGGTGAATCACTTTTGGGAGGCCTTGGACCTGGAGATACGTGATAGGGCGACTCAATTGCCCAACATGACTTTCAGCCAAGTGGTTGCCCAGGGGTTGAAGGGGGAAAAGCAATGGGAGGAGAGGAAGAAGAGGGACGCCGAGGAGGCGAAGAAGAGAAAATGGGAGAGCCATGGCCCCCAAGGTTCTAATAAGAAGGTGAACCATGGGGGAGGAGGATCATTTAGGGCACCGGCACCGCCATCTAGGGGAAGCTCAGGCACGGGTGGACAAAACTCGGGCTCGCAAGCCCCAATGATGATTAGGTGCAGGAACTGTAACAGGAACCATGGGGGAAAGTGTCGTGACCCTCCTCGGTGCTACCAATGTGGAGACACGGGGCATATTAAGCCAAATTGCCCTCAACTTGGTGGGAACCGAGGGGCGGGGTCTAGCGGCACTACCACGGCGAGTAGGAGCCGAACCAGAGCACCCCAAGCTAGTACGGGGCAAGGGGGAGCGAGCACGAGCAACGCGCCGTCCGTGAACCAAGGAAGGACTCAAGCTAGAGTCTACGCAATGACCGAGGCCGATGCTCGGGCCAACCCCGACTCCGTTGCAGGTAATCCCTTGTTCACTCTTATATTATTCATATACATACGTATACAAACCTTAGGGAGCGTGTACGGGTCAATCGATGACATTTTCGGCTCGTTTTTGAGCGAAAAAGGGAGTGGAACACGCCCAGGGACGAACCGGCGCCGGCCTAGCGTGAAACGAGACCAAACGGAGCTGGCAGTAGCTTACCCGGCGCCGGCCAGGGGGGCAACCCGGCGCCGGCCCGGAAAAAAAATTCCCGGAGGATGGCTATCCAGTAGCTTACCCGGCGCCGGCCAGGGGGGCAACCCGGCGCTGGTCCGGGAAGAAAATCCGGCTTTTCGCTCCAGGGGATAACCGGCGCCGGTCCGGGCCATACCCGACGCCGGTCCGGTGCAATTTTTCACACTTCCGGTTCCAGTAGCTTACCCGGCGCCGGCCAGCTCCATACCCGGCGCCGGTCCAGTGCATTTTTACCTAAAAAAATTTCGTTAAGCCCCGTTTCGATCCGGTACGTTGACTAGTGTGTCTTACATGACTTATATATGTAGGAACATTAAAGATCAATGGTAGAAACGCAAGAATTCTCATTGATACCGGGGCACAACGTTCATTCGTGAGTGAAGCGTTTGCCGAAAGTTTAGACGTGCCGTTGATAGAAATGACACAACCCTTGTTGGTCTCCACACCGTTGGGAGACGATGTGGAGAGGAAACACTACTACCCTTCGTGTGAGGTAGAAGTGACGGGTCAACCTTTGACTTGTGACTTCGTACCTCTAGGCATGTTAGAATTTGATGCAATTCTAGGGATGGATTGGCTCGAGAAACATCATGCTCGAGTGGATTGCTATGCCAAGATTTTGGAACTCGAGGACGCTGAGGGAAACGCTCTACGTTTCGAGGGAGATCGGGGAGGGTCTCGTAGTTGTATAATATCCGTGATGAGGGCACGGAAGATGATGAAGAAGGGATGACATTCATACCTTGCTTATGTGGTGGATGAAGCAAAGAAGGAGATTGACATCAACGATGTACGTGTCGTGTGCAAATATCCGGATGTCTTTCCCAAAGACTTGCCGGGGCTTCCACCCGACAGGGAGATCGAATTCGTAATTGAAGTGGAGCCGGGAACCAAACCCATTTCGATTCCTCCTTACCGAATGGCACCGGCCGAGCTTCAAGAGTTGAAGGTTCAACTTCAAGAGCTATTGGACAATGGGTTCATTAGGCCCAGTCATTCACCGTGGGGAGCACCCGTACTCTTCGTTAAGAAGAAAGATGGCACACTAAGAATGTGTATAGATTACCGACAGTTGAACAAGGTCACGATCAAGAACAGGTATCCTTTACCGAGGATTGATGACTTGTTTGATCAACTTCGAGGGGCGACCGTATTTTCGAAGATCGATTTGAGGTCGGGGTATCATCAGTTGAAGATAAAGGAGAGTGACATACCTAAGAGTGCATTTCGCACTAGATATGGTCACTACGAGTTTTTGGTGATGTCATTTGGTCTAACCAATGCACCGGCGACGTTCATGGACATGATGAACCGTGTGTTTAGTGAATACTTAGATCAATTTGTGATAGTATTCATTGACGATATTCTAATATACTCCAAGAGTGAAGAGGAGCACGAAGACCATTTGAGACTTGTACTCGAACGACTAAGGGAAAAACAACTCTTTGCAAAGTTCTCTAAATGTGAGTTTTGGCTCAAAGAGATTGGGTTTCTTGGGCATGTCGTGTCGGGTTCGGGCATTGCAGTGGATAAGGCCAAGATAGAAGCCATTATGAATTGGGAGAGACCCAAAAATGTGAAAGAGATACGTAGTTTCCTTGGCCTAGCGGGGTACTATCGTAAGTTTGTTGAGAAATTTTCCGTATTGGCGTCTCCATTGACAAAGCTCACGAAGAAAGGGGCCAAGTTCATATGGGACGACAATTGTGAGGAAGGTTTCCTCGAACTAAAGAAACGGCTTACGGAAGCACCGGTCCTCGCTCTACCCACACAAGGGATAGGGTATGACATATACAGTGATGCTAGCATCCAAGGGCTTGGATGTGTACTAATGCAAAACGGTCGGGTGATTGCCTATGCTTCTAGGCAATTGAAGAAACACGAGGCGAACTACCCTACCCACGATCTAGAGTTGGGGGCGGTAGTGTTTGCACTAAAGATTTGGAGGCATTACCTCTATGGGGAGACATGTCACATTTTTACCGATCATAAGAGTCTGAAGTATGTATTCACTCAGAAAGAGTTGAATATGAGGCAGAGGAGATGGATGGAGTTGATCAAGGACTATGACTTGATCATCGACTATCATCCCGGAAAGGCCAATGTAGTGGCCGATGCACTGAGCAGGAAGAGTACGTCGGGGACATTACTCACATGTCTACGAACTTTGAGGGCACAAGTGGAGGTGTCCACGAGTGGGGTCCTCATTGCTAGATTCGAAGTTAGGCCTACATTGCTGAGTGAGATCAGTAGATGTCAGGCCACTGATGAAGAATGCCAGAAGATCCGCGAAAGGATCCTTGAAGGGCCCGTGGAGAACTTTCGGGTACGTGATGACGGTCTTTTACTATTTAAAGACCGTGTATGCATACCAAAGAGTGAGGAGCTCCAAAAGTCCATACTAGAGGAGGCCCATTCTTCGGCATATGCTATGCATCCAGGAGGTACAAAAATGTACCGAGACTTGAAGGAAAGTTACTGGTGGTCGGGAATGAAGAGAGACATCGCAGAGTACGTGAGTCGATGCCTTACTTGCCAGCAAGTTAAGGCAGAACACCAGCACCCGGCAGGGCTTTTGCAGCCACTGACCATTCCAGAATGGAAGTGGGAGCATGTGACCATGGACTTCGTGGTGGGGCTACCACGAACAGTGAACAACTATGATGCGGTATGGGTAGTGGTTGATAGGCTCACCAAGAGTGCACACTTTTTGCCTATCAACATTACTTATCCTTTTGAAAGATTGGCAAAGCTGTACACGGAGGAGATTGTGAGACTACATGGAGTCCCGATATCCATTGTCTCGGATAGAGATCCACGATTCACATCTCGATTTTGGCCCAAGTTTCAAGCATCTTTGGGTACTAAACTGAAGTTTAGCACAGCTTTTCATCCACAGACAGATGGAGAATCTGAGAGGGTGATACAAATATTGGAGGACATGCTTAGAGCATGTGCTCTGGAGTTCCAAGGGAGTTGGGACAAACATTTGGCTCTGGTTGAGTTTGCCTATAACAACAGTTATCAGGCGAGTATTGGCATGCCCCCATATGAGGCGTTGTATGGAAGGAAATGCAGAACGCCGTTGTGTTGGGACGAGGTTGGCGAGGCCAAGCTCGAGGGGATTGAACTTGTTGAAATCACCAAGGCTAAGGTGAAAGTCATTCAAGATAGACTCAAGGCTGCTCAAGATCGACAGAAGAGTTATGCCGACAAACGACGGAGGCCATTGGAGTTTGAGGTCGGTGATAAGGTCTTCCTAAGGATTTGTCCTTGGAAGGGTATCATCCGATTTATATCGAGGGGAAAACTTAACCCGAGATACATTGGTCCATTTGAAATCCGTGAAAGGATAGGGGCTGTGGCATACCGTCTCAAGTTGACGCCGGAACTTGAGAAGATACACGACGTATTTCATGTATCGATGCTCAAGAAATACGTGAGAGATCCATCTCATATTCTTGAGAAGCCACCGGTGGAGATACGTGAAGATCTACAATATGCGGTGGAACCGGTAAAGATTGTGGGTCAACAGGTGAAGAAACTGAGGAACAAGGAGATTCCTATGGTAAAGGTTCTTTGGAGGAGTGATCGAGTCAAAGAAGAAACCTGAGAGACTGAGGTCTCAATGAGGGAGCAATACCCGTTTCTTTTCGATTAGACACGTGGATTTCGGGGACGAAATCCCAAATAAGGGGGGGTGAACTTGTAACACCGTCCCCAAATGTATTTACTTTTAAGTGAATATTGTATTTTAACCTTATGGAATAGTTGACGAATTTACGATGTTATGAATTTTTATTAATTATTTTGCGTGAATAGTAAATTCGCACGTGGGGCCCACACCGGGAGCGGGGACCGCCCTATATTCCCGGGACCACATAAATTATTCATCTTGGTCTAGATAATATTTATATAGTGGTGGATAATTTATTGGGTCCAAAGAAATGATATAGAGTTGACCGGTTGATCAAAAGGCCAAAATACCGGTATTGGTAATTTAACAGATAAAAACCCGAAATGAATTTCGGGAACTTATAAAGTAAAGTTGGGGGATGTATATTCATTATAAGGGTCATAATGATTTGGTAACACATAATATATTTTATTTGACCCGATAAAATAAAATATATCTAAAACAGTCTGAAAAATACAACTTTCGGGGCCGATTGTACACTTCTGGACAAAAAGGGTTGACCTCCCACATGGGTGGGGGCCAACCCACGAATTTGGCAGCAAAGGGGGGGCTGATCTATGTCAAACAAGGGCTGAAAACCTTGAGGAGATGGGAGAGACAACCTTGACATCCCAAGGGCCCCATTCTCACTCATTTGGCAAAAATGCCAAAAAGGAAACCTCACCCCATCTCTCCCTCACTCCTTCTCTAGGCCAGCACCAACCCCAGCAAGAAAAGAAAAACCTCCATCCTCCTTTTCCCATCCTTGAAGAGAGCTCAAACAATAGAGGTCCAAGGGGGAAGATTAAAGGGAGAAAAAGCTAGGAAAAGTGAGAAAGATTAAGGTAATGACCTTATATTAACTTTTCCTTTATTTTTCTTCTATCATCATAGGGAGAACATTGAGGATTGTTCTACATGATTTCAATGTGGGATAATAGGTTGGAGAGTGGTTCTAAGTCCAAGAACGGACTTGGAAGCCAAACCGACAAGTTCACCGGAAAATAACCTTTTAGAGGTTATTTGTATTGATTAAGGTTTTATGATGTTAAAACCTTGTTAGGAACTTGATTAAAGTATTTTTGAGCTTCGCCGGAGTTTCGCCGGAGTTGGTCAAAGTTCGTCGGAGTTGGTCAAAGTTCGCCGGGATTAGTCAAAGTTCAATCGGGGAGCGTAGAACGCGCGTGAGCTCACTTAAGGTGAGGATGACCGACTATATTGCTTATAATCTTTGGGTTAATTTCATGAGATTTCCTAAATGAATATATACAATGTGATTTGCATGAATTATTAATGGTTAATAATGCCTAAATGAAATTACTATTGATTATAAGTATAGGTTGCATAATATACAAATTTATTAAATAAATTGTGTATGTCTAAATGTTATGAATATGATGGCATGATAGTAGTACCAACCATAAATCCCATTTGTGATAAGTATACTTTTATTTCATGAGAAGAAGCCATGAGAGAATAAAAGTAATATTTTGATTTTAAGGTCAAGCTACATATTGAATGAAGAATTACATTGAAATGAGTAAATAACTAGTATTGAAATATTAGTTGGGATTGTAGTTGAATAATGGATGAATGGATCCTAAGAAATTGAATTGTAAGGAATCAGTGATTATTGAGCTGGGCTCTAGACCGATGTAGATAACGGTTGTTATTGAGCTGGGCTCTAGACCGTAGTAGTTATCGGTGATTATTGAGCTGGGCTCTAGACCGATGTAGATAACGGTGATTATTGAGCTGGGCTCTAGACCGTAGTAGTTATCGGTGATTATTGAGCTGGGCTCTAGACCGATGTAGATGGCGGTGATTATTGAGCTGGGCTCTAGACCGTAGTATGTAACGGTGATTATTGAGCTGGGCTCTAGACCGTGGTAAGTAATGATGAATTGACACTAAACGAATAAAGTTAACCATGATACAATAACACCCTAGGTTGAGGGTCTTGGAAATTGAAACTTTGATTATACTTAGTATAGTTGTCATTGTACTTGCCAAATGCTTCCAAGTACTGACCTCCCCCTCACGGGGGAGGCCACCTCACAGTTTCAGGTAGAACTTGAAGGTTGCTGCCATCGCCCGCTTGTTTCGGGAAGATCAAGGAGAGAAGACGTGGTTCGTGCTTCCTCCGTTCCTGTTTTAAAAACATTTAAATTAATGCTCATGGATATTATATTTTTGAATAATCGTTTGGGGGCTTGTATGCCCATGTTTGCCAGAGTGTGGCACGAATACTTGTATTAAATGTTTCCGCTGCTTTGAATGAATACTTTACATTATGTTTGTTTATGGATGTACTATGTGTGAATGATATTCCAGACGCCTTGTATAGTATGGATGCGTTGGACTGCGGTTGACTATTCGTACTGTACGGCGGATTGTTGACGTGTCCGGATAGGTCCGGGGCGTGACATCCATTCCTACTCTCGTCTTTTGATAAGACAAAGTTAAGCTGCGGAATTTGGATGAGTCTGGAATTTGTACTTTGACTTTTGCGAGTGCCAAAATTAGGCGTAGTAGCCTTAGTTTTTTTTCGGCGGTTAAACAACCTTCGCAATTTTACAAGGACTTTATGAAAAAAATAAACTTTATTGGATAATTCTTCGAATCAGGATTACAAACCTATTGGTAGAATTTCATCAAGTGTTCGGAATTCCACGCTCTTTCTATCTGCTTCCCTTTAGGAGTGCTTAGCTTGTAAGTCCCAGGTCCTACGACTTCTCTGATTTTGTAGGGCCCTTCCCAATTTTTGGCAAACTTTCCGCTCTCCAAAGGTTTGCTTGCAGACCTCCTTCTTAGAACTAGGTCCCCGACCTGAAATAGCCTTGGTCTAACTCTTGCGTCGTGGTATCCTTTAACTTGCCTTCTGTAGTTTTCAGCTCTGATGAACGCGTTGTCCCTTCTCTCCTCAATCAGATGTAGTTCTGCCCTGAGCATGTCCTCGTTATTTTCAGGATCATAATTTTCAACCCTTCTACTTGGGACTAAAGCCTCCAGTGGTGCTCGGGCTTCAAACCCATAAGTTAAGGTGAAGGGAGTCTCACCAGTAGCCTTTTCCTTGGGGTAGTTCGGTATGCCCAAAGTATATTGTTGAGTTCATCCACCCAAGTTGTTCCCATTGACTCCAACTTCCTTTTGAGGCCGCTAACAATAGTCCTGTTAGCGTTTTCCACTTGTCCATTGCATTGTGGGTAAGCAACAGATGCTCGGCTGGCCTCAACTCTCCATTGTGCGCAGAAATCTTTGAATGGCTCGGAGTCAAATTATTTCCCATTATCTGTGATAACTTGCATGGGAACACCAAATCGGCAAAATATATTTCTCAGACAAATCTCTTGCATTGCTCCGCAGTGATTGTGGCCATTGGTTCGGCCTCAACCCATTTCGAGAAATAGTCAATTGCAACTATCACAAATTTCCTACCTCCTGAGCCCGGGGGAAAGGGCCAAACAAGGTCTATTCCCCACCTTGAGAAGGGGATCACTGTGCTGATAGGATGATATAGGGTGGCAGGCCTGCCTGGGTTTGTTTGAAATTTCTGGCAGACCTCACATCTTCGCGCAAAGTCCACGCAATCCCTTATCATCGTAGGCCAAAAATATCCTTGCAATAGGGTTTTCCTACTTAAGGTGAATGCACCTTGGTGGGATGAACAAGTTCCTTCATGTAGTTCTTTGATCACTTGTTGAGCTTGTTCTGGCCTTAGACATTTGAGTAGCACGCCATTGTAACTTCTTTTGTATAGTTTGCCATTCTCAATGACATAATTCGGAGCCCGTCTTCTAATCAGCTTTGCCTTCCCCTCGTTGGAAGGCAATGTTCTGTCCTCTTTGTATTCTATCAATTCTTCGACCCAGGATCTTGGATTTTGCTCGGCCGCGAAAACCTCAAGGTCTTTGGTGACCTCGATGCTAGGTTTGTCTAGCTCCTGTATTCGGGCTATGCGCATGAGGTGTTCAGGTGCGTCCTCAGTCAGCTTTGATAGAATATCCGCCTCGTTATTCTGGGCTCGGGGAACACATATTAGATCTGACTCCTCAAAACACTTGATGAGTTCCAGGGTTGTATTCCTGTATTTCTGCATTCGTTCCTCTTTGGCCTCGTACTCCCCTCTAAGTTGTTTGATAACCAACTTAGAGTCGCTTTTGACCCTCAGCTTCTGTACCTTGAAGTGGATTGCTATCCTGAGGCTTGACAGTAGGGCCTCGTACTCAGCTTTATTGTTAGAGAGGTTAAATTTGTATCTGAGGGCATGGTATGTCTTGAAGCCTTCGGGGGGTGATGAGGACCACCCCTCCTCCGCAACCTTTGGACCCTGATGATGATCCATCGGTCATGAGGGTCCACCAATCTTCTTCCTCGTGTCTCTTTTCTTCAGCCAGGTCTCGGGCAGTACATTCGACTAGGAAGTCTGTCAGGGCCTGGCCTTTGATTGATGATCTAGGTTGGAAACTTACTTGGTACTGGCTTATTAGCAGGGACCATTTTACAACCCTCGCTATTTTAGCCGTTCAGAACAAAGTGCCTACTCCCAGGTCTGACAGTACTTTGATTGGATGAGCCTGGAAGTAGTGTGCCAATTTCTTGGCCGCCGGGTATACTGCTAGCGCGATCCTCTCCAGAGCTGGATATCTGAGCTCAGCCCCATGAAGGACTTTGATGATGTAGTAAACCGGTTTTTGCATCGTTCCTTCTTCACGCACCAAAACGGAGCTGATGGCACTTTGTGTTACCCCTAGGTAGAGCGTAAGGGTTTCACTGACCTCCGGCTTGCTGAGCAGCAGGTCCGATTGCAGATATGCCTTTAGGTCCTCAAATGCAATTTGGCATTCCGGGGTCCACTGGAATCCATTACTTTTCTTCAGGATTTGGAAGAAAGGCAATGATCGTTCCGCCGACCTGGATAAGAATCTCCCCAAGGCTGCCAGCCTTCCAGTCAAGACCTGAACCTCTTTGACACTTCTAGGGGGGTCCATGTCCAAGATGGTCTTTATCTTTTCTGGGTTAGGCTCGATTCCTCTGTTTGTCACCATGAAACCCAAAAAATTTCCTCCTTGGACAACGAAGGTGCACTTTTTAGGGTTAAGCCTTAGATTTACCTCCTTCATGATGCTAGAGACCTCCCTGAGATCTTCTACGTGGTCAGTTCCTATTTGACTCTTCATGATCATGTGATCAACGTATGCTTCCATGTTTCTTCCCAGAACTGTTCGGAATACCTTGGATACCATCCTGGTGTAGGTAGCTCCCGAGTTCCTTAATCCGAAGGCCATGACCAAGTAGCAGAAAACTCCTTCAGGTGTGACGAACAAGGTCTTCTCAGCATCATCTAGGTGCATCGAGATTTGATGGTACCCCCTGAATGCATCCATGAATGAAAGGAGTTCGCATCCAGCGGTCTGATCCACCAGCTGATCTATGCTCGGCAGGGGAAAAGGATCCATTGGGCAAGCTTTGTTCATGTCCGTATAATCAACGCACATTCTTCAGGTGGGTGGCTTAGGTGTCAAGACCACATTGGCAAGCCATTCTGGATATTGGACTTCCCTGATGTGCTTGATGCCCAACAGCATTGTTACTTCCCCCTTTACGAATTCTTTTCTATCCAAAGACAAGTACATGTGTTTCTACTTGACAGGAAAAACCTTTGGATCCACATTCAGGTGATGAACTGCTATACTGGGGTCGAATCCTGGCATGTCCTCAGGCCCCCACGCAAAGATCTTCCAGAATTCCACCAAGACTTGGATTATTTTTGCTCTCAGGTCGGCCTGGAGCCCTGTACCAATCTTAATCTGGCGTTCTGGCCGGGTTGGATCAACTCCGACCTCCTCAAGCTCCGAAACAGGCTGGGCTTTGAATTTCCCCTCCTCAAATTTCGATAAATCCTGTTTGATGGCGTTTACTCTTGCTTCATTTCTGGCCGGGTTGGATCGACCCCGACCTCCTCAAGCTCCGAAAGAGACTGGGCTTTGAATTTCCCCTCCTCAAATTTCGATAAATCCTGTTTGATGGCGTTTACTCTTGCTTCATTTCTTCTGTGGGCCTTGCAAGCCCTTACATAACAACTCCTGGCCATTTTCTGGTCTCCCCTCATTGTGCCCACTCCTGCTGGGGTGTAAAATTTTAGGCACAGATGAGCCTGGGAAATGATTGCCCCCGGGTCTTCCAGAAGAGGTCGGCCAAGAATTGCTTTGTGTACACTTGGCAGCCGCACAACCACAAAGTCCGTCTCGACAGTCCTTACACAGGGTTCCGATCCGAGCTGGATCTTGAGGGTGATAACCCCCTCGATCAGGTTCAATTGTATCTCCTGTGAAGCCTGACAGTGGGGTTTTGACCAGTTTGAGGTCTGCTTTTTGGAGGCCAATCTCTTGGAGTGTGTTCATGTACAGAATGTTTACTGGACTCTCATTATCCATAAGGACTCGGTGGACAGTGGTATCAAGAACCTCCATCTTTATCATCAATGTGTCTCTGTGCGGTGGCGGACATGGTGGTAAGTCATCATCTGTGAAGACAATGGACTCCCGTTTCTGCTTTTCGTCCGCATGAAGGCGCCTGATTTCTCCCACAAAGAGTTGGTGATTCCACTTTTTCCTTTCTGCCGCCGTATCTCCTCCCATAGGCCCGCCGTAGATCTGATTGACATGCGGGCGCTTCTGTAACACTTGATATTTAATATAAACGGATTAATAGTACTACTCATACCAACAAGATGCATCTCCTTTTAAGGGAGCTCATCCGCTAAGAACTCCAAAGTTAAGCGTGCTTGCACGGGAGTAGTCTTGGGATGGGTGACCCCCTGGGAAGTTTCTCAGGGCGCGCACGAGTGAGGAAAAAGTGCGCGGAAAAGGCTAGTGGCGGTTTGTGAGGACAGTACTAGAGGTCTTGAGTAACTACCTCGGGGCATACGGGGCCGGGGTGTTATAAGGGTGGTATCAGAGCAACCTTGCAACAGTGTGTTGATCCGTTGGATATCGGGCGGGCACTTAGCAGGGGGAAAGATTCTGGGGTGTGATTGAGATTTGTTTAAGGGCGCAACGAGGACGTTGCGATCCTAAGTGGGGGTGATTGTAACACTTGAGATTTAATATAAATGGATTAATAGTATTACTCATACCAACAAGATGCATCTCATTTTAAGGGAGCTCATCCGCTAAGAACTCCAAAGTTAAGCGTGCTTGCACGGGAGTAGTCTTGGGATGGGTGACCCCCTGGGAAGTTTCTCAGGGCGCGCACGAGTGAGGACAAAGTGCGCGGAAAAGGCTAGTGGCGGTTTGT